CWAMWGWACGTCCTCGTGGTTCAAACGTTATGTCGTCGGAGGTGAAGACTGAAACTGCTTCCTCTTCTTCTTCTATGGTTTAATGTGTCTCTACTTCCTGTGATTGGTCCAAAAGTCCAAACTGTCCATCAAAGTGTTTTCACTGTGAACCAACAGAACCGCGGTTGAGTTTGATCCGAGCCCAGAACTCCTCCTCTGGTCTGAGGAGCCGTTCACACCTGATGTTCAGCTTCAGACTGAACTGAAGAGTCTGAAGCTCTGAAACAAACCAGCGGTGAAAACGTCCTCAGGTTCCAGCAACACTTGTCATTTTGAGATTCTTGTCTGACTTTGTTCAGTCTTTGTAGTTTTCAGCTTAAACTACAACTCAATCCCAAACTTCTTGGGTCTTATTCTATTTCAAGTGTTGCATGTAAGCTGATATTTGTAATGTCAGAGTTAAATCATGTTCTCGTTGTATAAAGTGTACTTCTACCTTTCCAAGGTATTTATGGTGCTGGACGACGGCCAGAGAACTCTGCACCGTCACATTCCGCTTTCAAAGCTGTGGCTGTGTTTGTACTTTGCCAGAATGAATCTAGCTGGATTCCTGCTCAAGGACACTTCAGTAGGCAGTTACTTTGAAACCTTGATCTTATGGGACTCAGGAGGACAATCTTCCTGCTGCTGCGTCATTCTGCCTCCATATGTTTCGAGCTAACGCCACCGTATCTCTTAACGTCCTCTGTCGTCGGCCACCACATGCGATAATGTCTCCTGTCCTCACGGATCCTCTCCTCAAACCTGCTTCTCCCCAGTCTGAGAGCAGATTCCCGGTGACGCCCGGGCCCCTCGGGTCTCCGCTGATTGGCGGGGTCCTTAATTGCGACCACCTCTGTGTGAATAATAGATGCTCGTCGAGCTAAGTGGAGTGATGAAATATTGAAAGGCAGAGAACATGCCATGTAAGTTTATTTTTGAAGAGCTGCAAGACCAGGGAACAAACTGGAGGAGGGAAAGGGAAATCAAAGAATCTCCTCGGTTCAGCGGGGGGGGCCTGTTTTGTTTACGCTGGGCTCGGGGCTGTCAGATTAGCACGTTTGTCTCACACAAGAAATCCCTGCTGGAAAACTCTCTTCTGTCTTTATCCTGCCAAAGTACGACGCCCTGCGTTCCCACTTCCTCTTGTTTCAGCAACAAATTCTGACTCTGCAAAAAAAAAAAAAAAAGCATTTTGTCAAATTCACATCCCACTCATGTTTTCATGTTTTAGTATGTTTATTCCACACAACAGATTTCATCCCCTGAGAACTACTGGATCCAAAACACATATTTAAATCTTATGTTTCACGATCTATAATTTAAACTAGAACATCACTGCACCTCTCACCTCCTCCAAGGCCCGACAGTCCTTTCAGATTTACTGTCACGCACTCTTAAATGTCTCTCCTCTGAATACGTCTGATCGGACAATCTCCAGAGTTCGTGTCTGAAAAGGCAGCACAGGTGTTCATCTTCCCAGCAGCGGTTACTCTCTCTCTGGATTCAGAGGCGTTCTCAGGCATGATGGGACAGAATCTCTCCAGCGTGTTCTGGATCTAACCTGAGTTCTCCTGGAAAACCTCCAACAGAAGACAGAGGATCCCGATCGCATCAGCTGGCTCCTTAAACGTGGAGCAGCAGCGTCTCCAAGAACCTGCTGGACGTCGGAGCTGCTCACGTCCCCAGAAGCTGACTCCAAACTCCGCCGGGTGATCTGCTGTAGGATGATTTATTGTGGGACTGCTGCTGTTGGATTATGCTGCTCTAGTTTTAGCTGAGTGGACGTGATGAACCGAGCGTAAGAGTTGACCTGACAGTCGGCTAATCTTCCAGCAGCAGCTGGATCATATCTGATGAAAGTGTTGAGACACAGCGCAGCGACAGGGAGAATCACTCGACGGTAAATTATTACAATGTGTTTTCTCCTGCTCAGACCACCTCCATGACACACACACACACACACACACACACACACACACACAGTTCTGCATAATATTACCATAATATTACACATTTCTGTCAGTGTGGAAACCTTTTATCCGTTTTACATTCCTGTGGTTAAATCATTTGTAGAATAACTCTGAGCGTATTTCGTTGTAGGATTAAGACATAAATCAGGAGAATGTTGAAAACCTGCAGAGTTCAGATTATTTTACTGCACGAGGAGAAGATCCAGAACAGTCCCCGGCTCCATGTGAACTTCTTAAGCCTCATACTGACAGTAGAATAAGTATTTTCATTTTGTTTGCATGTTTTATCAACTGGCAACGATTCAGCAGCTAAATGTTGACGTGCAAGTTCACAGCTACAAAGAATTCAGTTCATTTTTTTTTTTAACCTCTTGAATCCCAGCGGGTCACCGAGTCATCACAAACACCAGCGATGTAACAAAGGAAATAAAGTTCATGTTATATATCGTTAGAACCAGTAGAAGCTCAGCTACATGCCCATAAGAACCGTTTTCACCTGAACGAAACACAACTCAAACAACAAGCGGCTAAATCAGCATGTCGACAAAACACACAAGCTATACAAAGCCTACTTACACAGGTGTGGTCTTGGCAGTTCAGACTAAAACCTCTCTCACTTTGCTTCACTTAGAATAAAATGTGGAACAGAAAATGCTCATGTGTTGTTTTAGAAGGTTTTGAGCTGAAACTGATAATTTAGATTTGTCAGAAATTAAGTCTTTGATGTGCGTGTGTGTGTGTGTGCGTGTGCGTGTGCGTGCGTGCGTGTGTTTTTCAGGGAAATGAATGTGAGGAGATTGTTCTCAGCTCTCACACCTGGTACAGGACAGAAATAGACGCCATGCCAACAACTGCACTGATCACGTGTGACAGGGGTATTCAAACAAAACCCTGTGTGTGTGTGTGTGTGTGTGTGTGTGTGTGTGTGTGTGTGTGTGTGTGTGTG